GACATTTTCTCCCTTTTTCTCAAAATTGACCCAAAGGCTCAAATATTATCAACAACATCAATAATCTCTTTTTTAAGACCCAAAATATACATATATGAGTCAAAAGAACAAAACCCCTATTTCCATACAACACATCTCAAACCCTAACTTCCCAAATCAAACTATTTATACAAAAAGCTCAATATCTATGTTAAAGTTCATAAAGATGAGTAGGAATCCCTACCTCAAGAGATGAAACTCAAAGGAGATGATGAAGAAATCTCGAAGTGCTCCAAATCAAGAAATTTTCGGATTGATAGGAAGCCCACACCAAGCTCTACACTATTTGCGAAGGCTCAAGGGTAAAAGGTCACTTTCACTAGATCAAACCCTAGAGAGAAGTTGAAATATAGTGAGAGAAGCTCTCAAAAAAGGATTTCTAGAAAGTAAAAGAGAGAAGGGAAAAGTGAAAAGTTATTCAAAATCACCCAGCTGCCATCTGATATACGACTAGTCCGCTCGAGCGGAGAATAGGACGCTCGAGCGTCAAGCACAAAAAATTGAACCCGCTCGAGTGCAAAAGAAAAGCCGCTCGAGCGTAGATTACACTCCTCCAGTACTTTTACAGAAATTGAACACCCGCTCGAGCGCCAAGAGGCCCACTCGAGCATATGAAAATCCGCTCGAGCGTGAAAAAGCACCTACAGAAGTTTTGCAGAGGCCCAAAATGCTGAAAGTGTGTAAACTCCGCTCGAGCGCAAAGGGACCCGCTCTAGCAAACCACCAAAAATCTGGGCAACAAGGAATGGGACTAAAGCTCAACCAACCTATTCGAAACACGCCCAATACATCCTAAAACTCAAATATATGGAATTAAAGGATGACAACAAGACATATACAACAACCAACTCCACGGAACCTAAGTCCGGATACAACAATTGAAGAAGGAAGAACCAAGATCGCTATAACTACAATTATACCAAATTAATCCATTTCGCTTTTATGCTTCTTGATTCCTTAATATACTAATATTATGTGGCTTGACATTTTTATTTTATAGTTTAGAGTATGTGCTTATATGTTTACACCAAGTCTTAATGAATCAATTTTCTAGATAGAATATCTACTTTATTTATTTATTTATTTTATTATTATTATTATTATTATTATTATTTTGAAAGCATTGAAGTGCTAGTTAAATTTGAGTTATGATAAAATTCTTTAGTTAAAATGATATGTAATCCGTAGAATCAAGAAATGCTTTTAGTGCATGCACATATATTTTAAGGCTGGTGATGCTTTGTGAGGAAATGTTGAGCAACTAAAAAATAATATATTAATAAAATGAGTTACAAATTGGATTGGTGTGATTTGGTTCTTTGTTCCCATAATTCGTCCTGGCTCAGAATATTGGTTAACCAACTTCCTCAGGTTTATGACATTGCTTTTATTGGGCCATTGAATTATCTTATTAATTTTGAAAATGTTTGTTGATGTTTTAAAATTTCTTAATCATTTCTTAATACCCCAAGAAATATTTTTGTCCCTGAGTTGTTGGTTTTTGGACTTATGTGAAGTTTTGTTTTGTTCTGCAGACAAGAAATGCAACAGGGTTAGTTGCTCCAGCTATTGTCGCGAGTTTAGGTGCCTTAACACATACATTGGGCACCCTTGTCCTTGTGATAGGAGCAAGTAGATTTGCTACAGCTATAGCAACAACTGTTATAGAAACTATTGTCGGTAGTTTAGATAATCTCTTAATAGTTGTCGATATGTTTAGAAAGTTAGACATGCATAGTTTTGGATGGTTTAAACTTTTTGTACAGTTTACAACTTGAGGATATGGTTTTTGAATGTTTAGAATGTATAGACAAGTGTTGAATGTTTATAATTTATGGATATAGTTTCTTTTTGATGTTTCAAACAATGTTTAGGTGGTTGATTGATGTTTTGTGATGCTTGTTTGTAATATTTGTTAGATTGTACAAAATTGGTCAAATAGAACCTGTTGAATTTAAAAATTTTAAAAAAAAATTACATATTTTACAACAAGCATAATAAGTTATTATATTACATATTTTACGGCGCGCAATCCACGTCGTTATTTGTCTCACCAATTAACGGCGTGTAAAAGTGGTCGTAGAAAAAGTAATAACGATGCACAAAATCTACCGTTAAATAGTTTTTAACGGCGTACTATAGCATGTCATAGAAAAAATAACAACGATGCACAAAATCTGCCGTTAAATAGTTTTTAAAAGCGTACAAAGCATGTCTTTGAAAGTGAATGACTTTTTATGACTGGTCATAATATGACGAGCGCTGCACGTCGTATAAGGGTTTTTATGACGCACTGTCGATTGGGCTCAAACCGAATTTTTGCTAATAGTAAGCAAGTTCCATCTAATTATAGGCGGCAACAGATGATGGGGTAAATTGATCTATTAAATAGTTTAAATATAAAATTGATATAATTAAAATGATAAGGATTAAATTAATTTTTGAGTAATAATTTGGAACAAAATAAACTGTACACCAACAAACAAACCCAAATGTTAGTTCTTCTAGTATGAAACGGGTCGGTGATGCCATCCACTACCTATCACAATTTGTGCAATTGTAGGGCTTTTCTTTTCTCATGACACCAGCCAATTAGGGGTGTAATTTTGGCCCGTGGCCCGCGGGCGGCCCGAAGCCCACCTACGGCCCGAGGTGGACCCGGCTCGTTAAGGCCCGTTTAGGCCCGAGCCCAAGCCCAGGCCGAGGCCTTGGACCAGGGCCTGGGCCATTGTTTTGAAGCCCGGCCCATCGTCCCGCTCAAAGCCTTCCCAAAAGCCCAGCCCGAGGCCCGACCCGCTTGGCCCACCCAAGGCCCAATGTTATTTTTAATGGAAAAAATTAAAAAAAAAATTGTTTAGGCCCGGCCCACTGGCCTACCTAAAGCCTAAATACCCCTAGGCTTGGGCTTGGGCCTAGTTTTCTGGCCCGTGGGTCAGCCCGGCCCGATTTTTAGCAGGAGCCCGCAAAGGCCCGGCCGGGCCAAAATTACACCCCTAACTACCTATCACAGTTTGTGCAACTATATGGGCTTCTCTTTTCTCATGACACCAGCCAATTAGTTGCACCAAATTTCTATGCCTCAATCGATTAATGATCTTCACTTCTGCTACGTACTCCTTTATTCCTTGTCTTGATCCCTTTTGTCTCAAACGAAAACAAGACGCTATGTGAATTTTTTTGTTTTCAACTTTGTTTGGCTTCTGGTTCTAGACCAGCTGACATTTTGTCATATGGATGTGGTTAAGATTTTTTTTTTTTGGTACTGTATATAAATTTTTTCTTGATTTACTAAAAAAAATTAATAAATAAAACAAATTTGCTGCATCATATTGAGCTCAGGTTGCGGTATGCGGTATTTTGTATACAATGATGATAAATGAGAAATATATTAAAAAAAGGATTGGGTTTTGTTTAGTCTAACATCTGGATTGGATTGTACTGTTTGAAGCCATGTGGCTGATTGCAAATTTCGTTTTGATAATCCGAATTGTTTGTAATACTTTCCGTATATATCATCCTAAAAAAAATTAGATCTATTTGATAATCGTAATTTATTCAATTTATAGTGTTGTCTCCAAAAAAAATAGACGGCAAGTGCATTTTTTTTTTAAAAAAAAAATCTTTTTTTTTTCGTGACAAACATAATAAATTGAGCATGCTATAATTATAAAACTGAATTAATTTTTTTTATGAGTGACATACACGAAGAGCCTTAAAAAAAGGACTATTCAGATTATTGAAACAAGGCTGTGATGGGCCTTATAGACTTAGATAGCACCCTCCAGTCCAGATCTAGACCGGAGGGAATCCAAACCCGTAAAAAAATACATAATGGGGATAATTATTCAATAGTTAACCTGATTGGATTAATTCAGTTGACACTCTTATACATGCCTATTGAAAGGTAAAGGAGTGTATATTTGAAGGAAGACGCTATTCTTATTTCACTTTGTTCCAAATATACTTCATTATTTGTCCTTATTAGACATAGTTACTATTTCTATTCAATTTTGCTCCAAGTACACTCTCCTTTATGTATAATAAAGATAAAAAAAAATTAGTGTATTTAGAGCAAAATGAAGTGGGAATAGTGACTCCTTATTTAACAGGTAAAAAAGTTAATCTTTATAAATGGCAAATGGTAACCCTAGGAAATTGTTCCAAATTTTTAGATTTTTTTTTTTTAATGGTAATTATTTTTTTTTCTCATTATAATGGTTGTACTAGAATTTTCAACCCAAAAAAAAAAAAATAGAAGCGAAATTAGAGTGACCAAAATAGAATTTGAAATAAACTATAGAGATCACCAATGGAATAAATAAATTATACGAATGATCTTTATAATTTCTTTTGAATTTCACTTTAATCCATCTAATTTTGCATATGATTTTTCTTAACTTAAATAGTAAGTTTCGAAGAAATCACATTATAACAAAATTAAAAGTAATGAATTCAAATTAAATTAGGAGAATCAAAGTAAAATTTTATAAAATCTAGAATAACCAACGGTTCTACATTAAGACACAAAACTTGAGACATCACAAAATTATTACAATGAGATGCTAGATTAGAGTATCTTATAAAAAAATCAGCAAAACAAATCACAAAACTATATGGTGAATGTTGATGGCAAAGAAGAACTTATTTAATGCTTTCCATACTTTGGTGGCAACTTCAACATAGAATTGTTGACAAGAAAGAATCTGCAATGAATACAGAGATAATTATAAAAGTAATTAACTTTTCTTCATGGTTGTGCCCACATGAAGGGTCATGCTCCTATATATATATTTTTTTGGTATATATCATAGGTAAGTTATAATATTTGTGATGTTTTTTTCGGTCATAACTAAAATAATAATAATGGGTAACCAAACACCGCATAAGGGAGAATCAAAGACATTTTCAATCATAACTAAAATAATAATTACAATAAATCATAAATTGAGGACGACAAACAACTATTCCTCTTCTATTGGTTCATCCCAAATTGGGGATTTTGTTGAAGAATAAGTGATGTTCCAACCAGGTGATATGCAACCTCTCTCCATGTCATATACCCACCAACCATCCATTGCTTGATGAGTAAAATACACACAATTACTCTTACATCCCACTTTGCTAGCAGTGACTGACATACAACAATTAGTCCCCACAAACATTGTTCTATCCCCAAGTCTCTCCATCTTTACCCATGACAGTCTAGCAAAGTCAAGCCTATGAACCTCCACATCCTCCACAATGTTCATAGATTTTCTAGAGATTAGAAAAACCAACAAGATTTCACCATTGGATTCAATCAGATGTTCTTTGAAATGCTTTGAAGGTGCACTAGGCACAGCCCTGCTTGTACTTAAATCTGCGATTTTGAGATTAGACTCGATATCGATCTCTAAAACCGCCAGAGTACCCTGCAAACTCAAAGCATAGAACTTTCCTCTGAATCCAATTGCAATCGTGAATTGCATAAATTGTTGTTGATTCAAAGAATGTGGGTCAACAAGGTTGCAATCTTGTTTGGACCACCCTAAATTTCCTTTTCTTAGGACATAGAATGCGAAAGCCGGATGAGAAATGCCTGTTAAGACCATCATAACACAATTTTCCCAATCTTCAGGAGATGAAGATAGAGCAGCATATTGAAATGGAACATTGTTGGTATCCCAAAGTGGAAGAAACAACTGAGGACAACCTCTTTTAACAGTATCCCAAAGATAGCATTGGGATGGTGCATAAGCCCCTCTAGCAACTAGCACACCATGGGAGTACCCTACAAAATGTAGACAGCGATAATGACTAGGGGGCAGGCCTCTGAACCACCAAAAGTACCCAGCTCGGAATGAGATGTCGAAATTGTCAGGAAGAGACTTTCCATGAGGCTCATGACATCCATCGCTGTTGTAGGAGAGTTGGGGATATGGTGATTTTCCAACTGGGTTGCAATGCTTTGGTGCTAATCTCCAGGATTTTGTGACACCATCATAGCTGATGTTTTTCATCAGACTTGATTGCTTTGCAACTATGTTGAGTAGTTGTTTAGGAAGATGTGGCCATGGCCTTAACATGATCCAACTACACTGTTCTATCCCCAAAGGCCCTCCACCTTATTCCATGTGAGTCATGATAATTGAAGCCCAAAAAAGTCTACATGATCCACAATGCTAATAGACTTTCTAGCGATATATATCAATAAATCAGATCAAATTAAAACTTGTGTTTGTTCAAACAAGATCATCTTCATAATTTTTTATTTTATTTTTTAACTATTTTGATCTATCAAGAATTATACATTCAATTAACTTAAATAAATGTATATCTTTATTCTAGTGCTTCCATGTTAACTTCGGTATTTTCTTCCCATTTCATTTAGTGTAATCATATCACTTGTATTATCACAATTTTATATATATGTATATATATACATATTTGGATAAATTACAAATGCATTCCCTGAGGTTTACTTAAATTCAAATTACCTCCTGCAATTCTAGAAATTACATTATACTCCCTGTGGTTTCTAATTTCATAACAAATAGATCATTTTATTAATAAATCATCAAATTAATTAACGATTTTTACTAATGTTAAAATTTTATTTCAATTAATAATTTAGATAATTTTATTATTGTATAGATGAACAGTTAGAAATTTTATTTTTTCAATTAATTTTGTTAAATAAAAAATTCTGATAAGAAGATATTTATAATTTTTTAAACCACAAGGGACAATTCGTATTTTAAGTAAATCTTAAGAGATGTATTTATAATTTATCCTTAAAAATTAGATTTAATTTTTAATCTTGAATAACGCTCTTAAAAATATTGGGACTTGATTGAACGGATGATGTGGAATTGGGCTTTAGCTATGCAGCCAACCTCTTTGATAAGTCCAAGCCCATCTTTGAAAATCAATCTAACAAAAAAATAGAGATAGTTTTTGCTAATGGGTAAGAAACTGATTTTATAAATATGAGAAGGATTACATTCAACTCCATAAATCGTAAAATTGAAGATAAGAATAAAAATAAAAATAATTGATGCTAGAAGTTTGAAGGGAAACATAACTCAGGAAGGCCCGACAATTGCTAGCCATAGCTGCACGATTATCAATTAGTATATAAGCTAAGGCCAATTAACAAATCAATAAGGAAGACAGAAATAAATAACAAACTAAGAAAAGATTGAGCTTTGATTCCAAATTAAAACACACTAACATAGTGGTTTATATTGATAGTAGAGATTTATTAAACATATATCACAAGAAGGTCCATGATCTATCAGTACTAGAGGAACATAGAAACATAATTTCAAACATTACAAGTTGCAGCTGCAATTGCAGCATGCATGATACATATTATATATTACTCCATTTTATTTATATCTGTAATATTTACATTTCTTTATATATAAGTATATGTGTTTCTTGACCATAGTTGCTATTGCTTAGGTTTAAATTTTGAGAATTTCTTTAGTAACGACACCCGATGAACCATAGTTGCAATTGACAAACCACCAATCATTCTTGCATTGAACCTAGGTAGCCAAATTGAACTAAGTTATGCCAAGCCTCTTGAGTATAGTGTATACACTACCAATACATGAGTTGGAGTTGTAATCATGGTTAGGGTTCTCACTTACCCAAAGATTAATCGCATTTGCACCTGAGAAGGAACCCATGCCATTGGCAATGTTCTCCCTGTAGGGCCCACTAGAATGCACGAGGTTGCAATCACCTTTATTTATTTTTTTTATCAGAATTTTTTTTATGTTTTATTTTTTATTTATTTTTTTATTATTGATGAATGCTAAAGAAACATTGCATAACTAAAGTAAGTAATCAAAAAAAAAAAAAAAAATGAAAGAAAAGTGCAAAAAGTATCACACTAAACAAATCCATCTCAATTAGGTGGGAATAAATAGATTAAATAGAATTTAAAGAATCTAATTCGAATAACAAAAATTACCATCAAATAATGGAATGTAAGTATAATAGATTAATAATCTCAAATCTATAGTATAATCCATCCAATCAAACACGTTCATAGCTTACTGTTGGGTATACCTCATTATTGGAGTATGTGACCCAATTTGGTTTATTAAAAGTATTTTAATTTGGTTTGGTTTGGGTATAATATATTTTATATATTATATCTGATTTTTGGAATCCTAATAGGTATTTGATAGTCAATTTGATAGCAGTTAGGGTTTGAATAAAAAAACCCTAGAATTAACAATATATAAATATTGTTTATGCGCTCTGGAGTGTAGTAGCAGCAGTAGAAAATTCTTTTCGGTGAGAGTGCTTTGTGTATAACTCAATTTGGTGGGTTTCAATTGGTGTTGATTGTTGCCATGAATTGACTTGGTCAAATTCAAGAATTTGTGTCTTTGATTGCAACTTTGCTTTGAAGTGTTTGGTTCGGTGTTCGGTGTTGATTTGGGTTATTATTTTGGGTCTTTTACATCTTTGATTTCGAAGACTTTGGTTCATTTATTTGGTGAGGTCTTTCCTCTTGTTTATTTGTGATTATTTGGAATTCACCTAAGAGTGATTTTGTGAGACCATTCGTGTCTCGTTTGTAATTGTTTAGAAACTTTTTGGTTAATAGTAGAATCGGATTTCAATCCCGTGAACGTACCTCACATTGAGGGAACCACGTAAAATTCTTGTGTTGCTTTTGATTTAATTTTTCCGTATTAGTTTTTATTCCCATTGATTGATTTACTGGTGGGGAATCATATATTTTCACTAACGACTGGTATCAGAGTTTACGGTTTATTGGGTCTATTTATTTGTTTAAATCAATGGAAGGGAATGTAAGTCGTATGTCTAGCTTCAATGAAAGCAATTGGGTAACTTGGAAAACTAAAATGGAGGACCCATTGAGGGTGATTGTGGCAAACCCGAGGGTATGTAAGATGATGAATGGAAGAGGTTTAATCGAAAAGCCGTTGGTGTTATCTGTCAATGGATTGATAACAACGTGTTTCATCATGTTGCTACTGAAACTTCAGCACATGATTTGTGGAAAAAATTAGAAGGCCTTTATGATAGGAAATTAACTGCAAATAAAACTTTTCTATTTCGTAAGTTAGTTAATTTAAAATATAAAGAGGGCAAACCTATTCTGGAACATCTGAATGAAATAAAGAATATTGTTAACTAACTTGCTTCTATGAAAATTGTTTTTGATGATGAGTTGCAGTCTTTGATGCTACTTAGTTCTTTGCCCGAAAGTTGGGAGACTTTGGTTGTGACAGTTAATAATTTGAGCTGTGGTTGGAGAGTTGAGAGCTTCAAGAGCCATATCTCAGAGAGAGAGAGAGAGAGAGAGAGAGGAGTTATTTGTTTGTTGTGTGTGTGTGTGTTTGTGAGGAGTGAGAGACTGAGGCGGTGGAGATGAAGGGATGAGGGAGGTGGTGTTTATAAGTGGAGAGAGAGCGGGGGAGGGGGTGGGAAGTTGCGTAGGGAATGGCGGTGGAGGTGTTGTGTAGGTTATATAAACACTCAATTAATATATAATTGAGAGATATGGTATAGATATTTATAGATATAGAGATATGTAGCGAGAGAGATAGAGAGGATCAGGTCTCTGGGAGGCTGAGTTGGTGGGGTTGGAGAAGAGTGAAGTCGGTCAAGAAGAAGAAGGGGTGAGGATTTGGGTGACTGAGCTACTATCTTTTTAAAATATGTCATGGATGACTTCTTCTAAGTCAAAATAAACGTACGCAACTGGTTTCAATTTCACCCCCACCCTACCCACATCACCCACACCCACTCCAACTCCAACCAATTAATGCATCACCAATACCACACTTGCACACACTCATATTTCTAAAATAAAATTCAAAATTCAAAAAAAATAAAAATGATATATAAATTTATTATTTAAATAACGACTAATGTTTAGGAAAAGAGTATTATTATTTATGTTTAAAAATTAGAATTACTTTTCAAAACTTAATGATATGATACTTTATTAAAATATTTAAGTCAATTTTTTTATTTTTACTTATTTTTTAATCATTGGCCAATCATCTTATTTATATATTATTGGACATATAAAATAGTAATAAATTACCACATCATTATGTTTGAAAAGTTGGCTTAAGTTTTTTGCCTAAACAGGACTCTAAAATTACCACTAGTTTGAAAATAGACTTTTTAAAGCTAATTTTTTTAAATTTTTATCAAAAAATATATAAGCCCATCTCTAACGGTGAACCAAAGTTGGCATTAGATTCAAATTTTGGTGAAAAAAGCAGTTTTTGGTGCCCCAACGGTTGCACTAAATTGATATCAAAATGAGAATTCAACAAAAAAATCATTAAAATGAGAACGATGTATAGATTTTACTAAATTACTGTTCCTGACCGTTGGAAGAGCTGCACCGGTCAACCAGCCGGTCAACCGGTTCATCAATTCTGCGACGGGTTTGAACTGCGACGGGTTTGAACTGTTTGAACTGGTTAGTTTAAACTGGTCTGTGGCCGTGACCGTTGGAGTTGAACCGATCAACTAGCAGGTTGCCCGGCCGGTTGACCAACCGGTCGCCCGGTCTGAGCAATGGTTTGGGAATGGTTTGTTTGAACTGGTTTGAGCAGGTTTGGTTTGAACAGGTTTATTTTGAGATAGGTTATTTTGTGGACTTGGAATAATTTGAAGGGTGATATAAATTTAAATTCCCTTGAAAATATAATTGAAATTATTATCTCATATACATATTTTAAAACTAGTCGTTTCAATAAATTTACCGTTGGATGGACAGAGTATTTTGAAAATTTACCGTTGATGATGTGTTCTATAAAATATATCTGTTTCGTATATCAAGCTCACAGAGTATTTTATTTTCAGAATAGCATTACATTATATGTTGTGAATTTTGTTTCTTCTGTGTCATTTAGGATTTTTTTTCCTTTGAAACTTTAATTTATATTATCTGATTAAATTATCTGATTCTGAGGTTGAGTGTTGAGTGTATAACATTCTAATATTTTTCAGTAATTTAGATATTGTATGTACTGTATTTTTTTCAAACTATGGAAGATTTTGAAATGTTTGAGGA